TAGCTCTGCTCTCTTGCACGGCCCGAATCGAGGGCTGAGGCCGGGCGCTCTCACTCCTGGAGTGGCCCCTGCTGCCTGGGACCCCATTGGGGAATGGGATGGAGCCCTGGACACAGGGCGCTCAAAGTGGATCCCTGGCAAGGAGAAGGACCCGTGCATTGCAGAAATCACCTCCAAACCCGCGTTGTTCCCCGCTCCCAGCTGGGAATGTTCAGAGGAGCCCAAAACACAGTGCGTTCTCACCCTCGGGCCCTTGGAAAAGGACTTCCACAGAGGACTTCCAGAGGCTGCTTAGGGGGAGGCTTTTGCCATTTTTTGCTTTCTCCTGCAGGAAAGCCCTGCAGTAGCATCCCTGCTTGTTTGCGCACACACATTTGGGGATAAAAAAGGCTCTTTTGGCTTCCAGACAGGTGGCAAGGGCGCCCGGGGCGTCGCTCCAGGAGCAGGAGGCAGCGGCCACACGGGAAGGAGCCGGCAGAGCAAAAGTCACCTTCACATTCGGGGGCTTTTTTCCATCCAGAGGATTTATCCAACGCGGTTTCAGTCTCTGGAGCTCATCTGGAAGATGCCACGGAAAGCGTCCCCRCGCTTCCGAGGATGGAGTTTGACACTGCGGGGATCCGCAGGCAGCGAGGAGCCTCTCGGTTAGTGTCATATCTGATAACAGCTAGTCAGGCTCCTCTGGGCACCGTTCACATCGGATCTCCATCCGTCTCCGCTGCTTTTTGCATTATCGATGCTACGTCCCCATGCGTRGGCACAGCCGCGCAAGCGCTCGGCGCTCCCAAATTTAGGAATATGGGGAATGGGAAGGGGTTAAAGAGGAAAATGATGGCTTGGGGACCATGCAGAAAAGCCCCAGGAGGTCCCAAGTCGGTCTGGGGAGCCCAGGTTTACACCGGTGGAAAAAGGGGGTCTGGGATTTGCAGCAGAAGCCGGGGCCATGCGCATCCCATGCTCCCGCCTGGGAGCATGCACAGGGAAAGACGGATTGCTGCTGCTTTGCGGCATAAATCACCCGCCTCGCCGCACTCCAAAGTAGCATTTCCAACCTCAGGGTGCTAATAGGATCCAGCAGGAGAGCGAAACGCCGGCTAAGTAGCAGGCGCTGTTTGGAGAGGGCAGCGGAGCTGATCCGCAGCCCCGGGGCGCGCGGAGCAATCCCGGGGCAGAGGTTAAAGAGTTCAGGAGCACTTGGGGAGGCTTAATTGCCCCAGGCCTCTTGCAGGCGGCAAGATGGATGTGGAGCGGGGCCGGGGGCAGCGCGGGGGCAGCGCCGGCCCCCTCCAGCCCATCCCCSCCACAGCCCAAAAACCACAGGTTTGCCCCCAAAACACTACGGGACTTAAAAGTGGGGGGGAGGTGGCTACTGCCACCTCTCTCCTTCATTTCCACAGCATGGTTTTTTTTTCCCCCCCTTTTATTTTCTCTCTTTTCAGCTTTCAGCAGTGTTTGGTGCTCCGCCCAAGGTATTTCTCCTAGAATAACATTTTTCGTAGAGTTTTGACCTTTTTTTTTTTTGACACACATATGAATGTCATCAATAGCTGATATTTTGCTCAGAAAATGACATTTGAACGATTTTTTTTTCTTTGCTTCCCCCCCCCTTTTTTTTTTTTTTAATTTTTAACCCAAACAAAGTTAGCGATGGAAATACCTCCCCCGTTTGCGGCAGGGCCAATTTCCCCACAGGCTCCMCGGTGACAAAAGCACGAGCTGGCTCTGCGGACACATGCGTTTAATAGCCGGCCTTCCCRCGAGCTCCCATGGGAGCCGGAGCCAACACTGGGAATGGGCATTGCTGCAGCTCCCCATTCCCATGGGGACGCAAGCGGAGCGCTCCCGAGCCACCCCCCACAACCAAGAGGGGCCCCGATAGCTCCAAGGCTCCACCGGGAAGCGGCTCCAGGGCCCCACCGGGAAGCAGCACCGGCTCCCGGGAGCCCTCTGGGGATGAGGAGGGGATGGACGAAGGCCTCAGYGCGAGCTGCTCAGCAAGGACCACGGATGCCCTCTCGTGGGAAGAGCATCACTCGGCCACCCCCGTGCCGGGGCGCACGGACGGGCCACGCAGAGCCCCSCCATGCCGGGGGGCAGCGCTCAGAGGAGGAGGAGGAGGAGGAAGAGCGCGGCGAGGAAGGGCGCGAGCAGCAGCGGGCGGGCGCCGCGGGCCGCCCCGTTGCACAGGTCGCCGGCGCAGCAGTGGATGCGCACGCCCGGCAGCTCGGGCTGCTGGCAGTGGCGCGCGGTGGCACAGCCGCTCGTCAGCGGGACGCCCAGCACCACTGCAAGGCGAGGGGAGAGCGCCGTGAGCACCCGCTCCGCTTCCCGTCCCGCCGTCCCGCTCCCCCGGCACTCACCGCTCTCCGTCTTAAGGCAGAAGCGGTGTCGGAAGCCCTGGTGGGAATGGGAGCACGTGATGACCTCGGGCTTGGAGCAGCCCRTGTCCACGTACCGCGTGCCCGCGATGATGTTGCAGCCGTAGCACCGGAGGCCCGAGGCTGGAGGGAAAGCAGAGGGAACGCCGCTGGGTTCTTCCCTTTGGGGAAAAYACAATAAAACCCCTCCTGGCTCTTCCCCGGAATGCCACGGGGGCAACTTGGCTGAGTTGCATGGAGCATTGGGGTAAATTCTGCTCATTTCCGAGGCTAAGGATGCAGGATCTTGTCCCGACAGAGGCCACCGCAGAGACCCGGGAGCTGCCGGACAGTGCACCCGGAGCAGGGCTGGAAGCGGGAGACGCACCCGGAGCCACTCGCTGCAGCACCGAGCCCCTTGCACCAAGCACCCTATGCTGTTTCCTTGCTTTTCCACGATTTTCCTCTCAGAAACCTGGATGTCAAGAGATGGGAGCTAAACAGCTCAGGAAAGAGATGCTATTCCTTGCTTTCTGCTCTGCATGGGCACAGCCCCCCTGGCTGCAGGACAAGGTGTCCTGCCCATGGGTGACACTTTGGGGACACGTCCTGGGCAGGGAAAAGGGGCAGCCCGGGCTCATCGGAGGGGTCTCATCCTGTCCCAAAGCCCTGTCTGCGTTCCCAGGGGGGCAGATGGAGCCCAATGTCCCCATTGTGCCCCCGAATGCCCACCGCACCGAGACCTCCGGGTGCTGCCACGTTGCAAGAGATGCCTGGTGGTTTCATTTGCAAGATTTGCTTTGTTTTTCCCCCCAGAAGTGCTCCTGCTTTTATCCCAGGGTCTATGAAAGACGCAAAAACGTCCCTGGAATATGGGAGATGGAGCTGCCTGGACGCAGCCGTGTCCACGTACCCGCTTGGGGCAGCTCCTTCCCAGCTCCATGGCCACAGCCGGGAATTGCTTCCCCTAAATCAGAGCGGGAATTGAGCCACTTTCCGAGTTTCTCACAAGGAACAAGCCAGCTCCACAGGCTGCTCACCTGGGCCCTTGGCAGAGCCGAAGGCGACCGCAATCCCTGCGGTTATTAATCAAGTAACAAAAAATGACACCAATTTCCCTCTTTTTTACCCACTGCCGCCTGGGCACAACGCAGCAGCGTCCCCCAAAGCCCCTGGCACGGGGCTCCCTGACCCCACGCAACACCCTTCAATCCCCCCCGGACCAGCAACAAGCATCACGAGACGGGTTTGGGCACAACTCACCCTCCGGCAGGACGAAGACCACGGTGAGCAGCGGGAGGAAGGCCTGGGCGCCGCCGGGCGCCCGTCCCGCCAGCATGGGGACCCCGCGGGATGCAGCGGCCGGACCCCCCGACCCCCAGCTCTTCCCTCCAAATCCTTCCCCGCGTCCAGCACCGATTCCYGCTGTCTCCAGGGCTCTTCTCCTCCTCTTCCTCGCCGCTGCCTCTCGCCCGCGCGCGGCCACGAGCTCCTCTGCGCTCCCCTCGGTTATTTCTGTCCTATTTCCTCTGTCCGCGGTCGCTTCCCATTAATACCACCGCGCAGCAGCTCTTGGAGAGAAATTCTCCCTAATCAAGATTTAGTTTTAAATCCACTTCGAAATCCTCTAATTCAGTTGGATTAGGCAGAAGGGGTTTGGGGAGATGGATTTTTTTACAGTTTTTTTTTTTTCCTCTTTCTTTCCTCCCTTCTTCCTCTCCGAGTGGCTCCATCTCCACAAAGGGACCYGGGTGACACTATTTAAAGAGAATAGGAATAATTTTATTGAAGAGAAGCAGCTGACCGCTCTTAAATCCATGAGAGGAGCGGGGCTGGCGCAGCTGCAGCAAGCACCGAGGACAGAGGTACGTTGGGCTCCGTTTGGGGCATTCGTGCAGCAAAAAGAGGCTGTTTCACAAAGCAGAGGTGCAAAGGGGGCTGCCCCCAGCTGCAGCATCAGCTCCAAAGGGGCTCCGGACAAGGCAGCTCCGGGATTTGGGAAGGGGCCGCGGTCCTGCTGCAGCTCCGAGCCCGTGGGATCAGCTATGGGGAAGCCCCCGCGCACTGTTTGGGTCACCCATGGGACCCCCAAGCACCTTCCCATCCTCTCGAGCTCCCCCTCAAGCAACGTCGGGGCTCCGAGCGGCGCTAATGGGACTTAGGGAGCTAATGCTTACTAATGAGAGCGTGCGCCCAAACGGGTGGGATTAAAAAATTAAAATGACAAAATAAGCTGCTTAGGTCGGCCCGGCCAGCAGCGCCCCGGGCACCCGGAGCCGGGATGGGGCTCGGACACTGTCCTGATTGGCACCATCCTGCCCATGGATAAAGGAAGAGCTCTGAGCGCCCCATCCCGCCGCTCCGGGTGGTCGCAGAGAGGTTTGCTGCCCTGTTTCCCAAGGGAGATGGAAGGGATGAGGTCTCAGCACAACGCGTGGGCACCAGCCCCGTGGCCAGTGATCTCCTGTCGCTCCTTCCATGACAAAACTCCATTCAATCCTTGGAAGCAAGGATGCTCTGAGCAGCTCCCCAGCCTGCACCGCATTCGGCCCTTGGGAAACCRATTGGGATGATCATCAGCTTCGTTAGTGAGCTCGCTCGTTAGTGCTTCAGCGGGAGGATGAGCGGGGGCACCTGCGGCACAGGAGGGGCCACRGCAGAGCTGCTGCAATAACCACCCACAGCATCTCGCTTGCTCCAAAACACTGTGATTATGGCTCAGGTCTAACAGAGAAAGCTCAGGGAGAAGGGATGAAATGCAGCATAGAGGATTGATTTAAATGCAYGGATAAAGCATAGGGTTCAACGAGCTGCAGGAACTTCTACTCCCTTGATAAAGCCATCGGAGAGGCCGCACGCAGGGAATCGAAGCCGTCGTCCCTTCCCTTGCCGATGATGCGGCGTCTCCGCGTGCAGGGCTCCGGGCACCGCATCTGATCCGGCGGCTCCATCGCTGCAGGGAAGCCGAGCCGGTGATCCCGAAATCCCAGTGCATCCAAGCGAGGCAGAGGATGCACAATGTGCCACACCAGGTTACAGCTGGTGCTCCAAGGGTCCTGGCAACGGCTGCAGCTCCTGGATTCAGCACCTGCTCCCAGGCAGACAATCCCTTAGGAAGAGGCTGGAGAACACTGCAATAACCCCCCAATGTCTCTGCTCAGCTTCTTGCACTGGGTTTTTTTTTTTTTTTTTTTTTTTTTTTTTTTTTTTTTTGGCTGCTGCTGCTTTTGGAAGTTTGCCCAAGTTTCGCTTGGTTTTGTTCCTTTGGAATGCAAAAGGGAAGGGCCTTGAAAAGAAAAATAGAAATATAAAAGAATCCCTAACCTGCCTCTTTGAGGCTGCCACTTCTGGAGCCAGCGTATCCTTAACTTGTCATCAGCTCTGATGCAATTTTCTCACCYGCCCGGGCATGGGGCACCAGGATCCCGTTAGGGAAACAATATTCCTCCCCTGATGAAGGAAAATGTGATTAGCAAATCCCCCCAGRCACTCCTGTTCTCACTTAAACCTCCGGGATACCACGAAAGATGGATAAACCCCACGCAGATTAGACGGTTTTGCCTGCAAATCCTGCTTTAGGGCTCATCCCTGACAGGGGACACAACTTATTGCATGGCACTGGTGTCCCCRCAGCAGACGAGTCGCTGTGCGAGCAGAGAGGCTGGGTGCACATGCGCATGGCCCAGCGTTGCGGCACCATTGCAATGACAAAATGCAACAAGGGAGGGATTTGCCTCCTTGCATCTGTAGGACCTCCCAGGGTCTGGACAGCCCCTTCCCTCYATGCAAAATGGGAATGTTGCATGGSTGYCCCTTACGCAGCAGCAATGCATGCAGCTCCACTTCTCCATGTTCTCCTCATCCCGACCCCCTCACTCACCTTTCCAACCTTCCCAGTCTTTTCCCAGGCCAAGGATACGGAAGAGCCCCCGGGCAGCGAGGGCTCCCTTCCGAGGCGGGACTCGAACTCACAACCACGGGAACCGCCTCTCGGCCRCCATTGATAGCGAGGCGGAAGCGAGGCAGTAGTACCCCCCCCACCCCATCCTGCCGACGTTTAAGTAAGGCTAAGCGTGCTCGCTGATTGGGTACGCGCTGACTCGCCGAGGGCGGGGAAAGCGGGAGGGCGTGCTCAGCTCCCGCCCCGTGGGAGGGCGCGGCCGAAGGGCTGCCACTCCGCGTTTTGATTGGATGAGAGAGATGAATATATTAACCTCGCAGCCCAAAGCACATTTTTAGCCGAATTTCGTGAACTTTTTGCGATCAAAATGGCTATATGCTCAATAGAACACTATAAACAGAGAAGAATAGGTAACGATCACCGAAAGGAATGCAAAAATAAAGAAGAGGATATTCACCCTATTCTAAAGATGGAAGGAATAGTGGAGATATAAAAGGCACTGGAGCCCAAACTCATTCCGTGTTGTATGAAAGGAGAGAAGGTTAGCACTCCCCTTGATAAGGATGGAAGAGGTCCTCGTGGCCTATACAACACGCATAYGGTTAAGGCACTGCCACCTACTTCGTGGCATCTAACCATGTTTTTTTCCTTTCCCCTCTTCACACAGACTACAGTTTCTCCTACTTTCACCCTAAAAGGCTCCTTTTCCACTTACAGATTACTTTTTTTTTCATACCAAGTCGCGATGACAAGCCACTCCCGAGTCCCATGAAGACAACAGGGTGTCTTGTGTCACAGCAACTTTCGTTAAAGAGCCTGGGTGCCAACATACCTCTTTCCCTCTGCAGGATTTAACATACTCCAAACACCAACAGGCTGYGCTTAGCAGAGCTAGAAGTGACGTCTCTGCTATTTCACAGGGGCAAACAAGCCCAACCATCATAAAAACTGTGCTTCAGTGCACTGCACACTTTAAGGGACTAGGTAATTCTGGCCCCGCTGCCAGGCAGGAAGGCAAGGTAGGATTGTAACTAACTGGAGCTCAGAACTTTAGGTCTCAGCATGATTATTCCCACATACGGTAATAAAAACTTAAAAACTTCTTTCCCTTCAAGGTTGTGCAGTTTGAGGAGCACACAGCCAGCAGCAAAACGCTGAAAGCACTAGAGAGACTCATCTGCTCAGGGTCTGCTGCAGCAAACTGAACCTACATGGAAGTGCCTTGCTGGGATAAAGCATCAACTCTTCTGTTTGTGAAGATGCACAGCTGCAGCTTGTGAGTTAGAAGGTTCACTAGACTGGGCAAGAGACTTGAGAAGCTGCACGAGTTATCTAAAAAAGTGCAAGCAGTTCCAGGGTGAGATACAGTACACCTAGAGATAGGAGCTTTTCCTGGTGATAAGGAAAAATACTCAAAGGAGACTGGTATTAGCAATAGGCAGCTTAGCATGCCCACGTGAACTCTTGCTTTTTTATTTAAAACAAAAAAAAATGTACCTCATGGTATAATATTAATGAGCAGCTGTCCTCCTTAAAGGGAAAAAAAAAAAAAAAGGAGGGAAGCCCCTGTATGGCAGGAGAAATTTATACTACAATGACATTGCAGGTCCTAGCAAAGGCCTGAGGGCGATACCAAAACAAAGCAGCATTGTTGAACAGTCTGTGAAGTCTTAATTAGTAAAAGCTGAATCCTGCACTATGAATGAGAGGACCCTACCCGGTCTGTAGGCAGGYAGAGCAGCAGAATTCCTTTCCCCTTTGCTAAAGGTCGCTGGAAGGCTTTGTACTGATGTTGCCTCAGCTGAGGACACCCTCACTTCAATCTTCTTACTTTCTTTAAACAAGTTTTGACTGGAATTATGCTCTTCTTTTCCTTCTTCTAAACAGATGTAAGTAGCACTCCATTTCTCCTTCCTTAAGAAGCACTTCCTTCTAAAGATGTTTTAAAAGAGGCTTCCTGGGGCACAGACACTTCACATTAGTACACTCCTACCACAAGCATACACATAAAATCCCACCTTTTTATTATGGCATATGGTACTTGTTGCGATGTGTAAATACCACATGAGTATGACAAAAGGGRAAAGAAATACCAATGCCGAAATAGATACAGAGTCATGCCATTATCAATACAGTTTCATACGATGGATTTTCAAAATACAAAAGTTTGGCTTGTTTTCTTTTTACATGGAAATAACTTTACAGTGTTCTGTGATCTTGCTTTTAATCCAGAGGAGAAAAAAATTAAAATATGCTGAGAACAACTACAAGCAGGAATCATTTTAATGGTTAACAGAAGAACTGTAACTTTGCTCTAGAACAGGATCTATTAAACACACGTAACAAGAGGTAAGCAACTATACAGAAGGTAAGAGGAGATTTCACCATAGGAGGCAAGTCAAGGGCAGGAAGGGGGAAAATCTGGAACTGCATGGTTTTATTTGGTCACAAAGTTTGAGCTGAGTGTTTAAAATGAAGCACCCTTAAAGATGCAGCACTCCTATTTAAAACAATACAGAAACATCCAATAGACTAGAACCTACATTCTGAAAAATAAAAAATAAAATAAAAAAAATAGACATTAAAAAAAAAATCCACGTATCTCTAGGCTCATGACTTAACTTACTGTTACAAAGCAGACTGGCAGCTCTTCCTTAAGCAGCAACAGTGCCTAGAAGTAATGCCACCAAGAAGTACAGTATCTTTGGGGTGTCCAATAGAAGGCTGACACTTCTAACACGTTGTCAGAATGATCCATTTGTCTGCCAAAAGATTAGGCAAGAGGAGGAGACACTGCATCTTTTTTTTTCTACCACGTGGCCCAGCTCTAGCAAAGAGCTAAGACGTTTTCTTTGGGCCAAGACTAACAGAAACCACTTTTATTAAATATTCTTCAGCTTTCCGGCCAAACTGGATTTTTTATTCTCATGTGGATTTTAGTATTTTTTTAAAAAAACAACTTTTCCTGACAGTCTCTAAAGTGATACTGGAGCGTTTAACAGTCACTCTTCCACAGTTTAATTGTTTTGTCGTTTTCTAGTGCCGCTGATGCAATGATGTTTTCTGTTGGGTGACAAGCTGTTGAGATAACAACATCTAAACAAAAAGAAAAGATCCATAAATGTCATTATTTAGAGAAAGGATAAGGTGCTTCATAGTAGGCATCTGATTTCATAAAATGAGGGCTTATTGCTGCTACATCTTAGCACAGCATAGCCAGTGGATTGCATCCCTATAGTAGAATTATAAATACATTATTTATAAATATTTGATGGCTTTTGCTTCTCAAGATGATGAAACAATCACTACCAAAAAGCACGCTCTAAGTGGGCTCCCCACGTTGAGAGTAATCTTTGAAAAATGTTTGATACATTACAAAAAGTGAGAACTCTCTAGGTATTAGTTCCTGCTTACTGGACAGCAAAGCCCTTGGAATATTCAGACACAGTTCGCAAAAGGCCACTTCATTTTTTTAGGTACATTTACAAACAGTTGATCACAGCATTCCCTGTCAGATGTAACTGCATCTCCACCAAAGTGACATGTCAAGCTGGCATTTATCCTTCCAAGAGCTGAAGCTTTGGAAGGTACTAATAAGCCATTTAAGGTCACTAGCATCATAAGTAATTTAAGGATCTTGATCAACTCCAAACTCCAAGAAATTCTTTTGTAAGATGGTGTCAAATTCAGAGAAAAAAACTGCATGGCACTAAAAAAAAAAAAATTATAAAAAGGGAAGAACTTCTAGGGTTCAATTAAACTTGTGATAATAAATAATTCAAAGAGTGTGACAGTCAACACTAAATATCAATAAGCAGTGCTAAAGCTAAGCCTCTTAATAACAATAATAGTAAACACAAAAGCCTCTTTCATACCTGTGTGACCTTGCAATTTCTGTACAATCTCCTTTGTCTGAAGGTTCCAAATATAAACCAGGTTGTCTTCTGATCCGGACACAATCCACTGAAAAGAGAGAGAAAAAATAAGTTATTTTGATCTTTCTTCTCAGAGGTATCTAAGCGCTATTACTGAATATTTTACATTGTTTTCATATTAAGAGCAACTTCCAACCTTTTAGGGCCGACTTTCTAAGTGTTTTATTCCACAGCACTATGATATATCTTTGAACCAGGACTTTCAAAGGCAGTTTCTATCCCCGAACTAGGTTCCTCTACAAAATTCTACCATTGCTAGTTCACACAGTAGCCATCACTTCTATTTAACTGAACACTATTCCTTTTCTTTCAAGGCAAATCCATTTTTAGATGAAAGGGTAGAGATGTTTATGAACCAAACTATCAGGCAAGATTTGCATTATCCTTATCTCCCACGGATAAAAGTAGTAAGAGTATGTTTTTTATTACTAGAAGCAATTGAAATAAGTACTAACCTTTCCACCAGTAACAGAGAAATTTGCAAATATGCAGTATTTCTCATTTTTGTGTCCCGTGTAGGTCTTCAGGCACTGGAAGAGAACAGCCACAAGATGTAAAGTACAACTGGGAATTAGTTCTCTCACTGCTAAGCACAAACTCCCTTGGTAGCGTAGATTAAATATCTCTGCCCATGTTTCCCACCATGCCAATGTATCTAGGGGATGTGGAAGTCATCTCTGTCCTAAAACACTAAACAGTCATTGGAGAAAAGGAAGTAAAGCCTTAATTTGCCACTTCCCACAGAGAAAGAGAACAACGTCAATTTACTGTTCATAAGATGTTATTCACAAATACAACTTTACTCAGCATCACAGAGCTTGGCAAAAGCATGTATTCTTTTTCCTCCAAAGGCATGTTTAGTCTCCTTTATTAAAGACAATACTACTTCTTCATATGGTATTGATAAAATGTTGAACAATTTAAAAAGCATATACAAAAGCCCAGTCTGCTACAATCTTAGTTAGAGCTTCATAGTGAAACAGAATTGTTTTTTACCTTTCCTTTGCTGTAGTCCCAAAGTTTAAGAGTGCTAGAAAACAGAAGATAAACCTTTTAGTTATTGGATTTTTTTTTTTTAATTCATGTGACAACTTTCTGGTTACAAAAAGGGCATCTCCTAAAGCCTCCCTGGGTCACTGTAGCCTGGTTTTGAAGGTAGCTTTATTAACAACACAGCATCAAGTTTTACTGACAAGCCATTCTTATTCTCCTCCACAGGAATGTATTTAAAATATCCCCTGACACATGCAAGCTTCTTCACAGAGAGTGACCAGGCAGTCTAAAATCAAATCCTCCTGCAAGCACATACAGATCAAAATGGTCCAATTTTGGAAATTCAGTCCCGCACTGGGATGTTTCAGAGACTCAACAATGGACTGAGACCCATGACCTAAGAAAGGAAAGTCTCTGAAAGCAACAGCATCATTAATATCTGTGAATGGAGATGACAGACCAGCTAATGCTGCATGGAAATCCTCCAGGTGAATCACTCTCAACACAAGCAACCCACCTGCACTGCTTTTATGCCTTAAACATAAAGCTATTTATATCTTGCTGCCTTTTATAGRCTAGGTTTTCAGTCTCGAGTGATACAAGAGAATCCTATGATTAATGTGAGGAACTCCTGAGGTTCTGAAAGGCAGACAAGGAGGAATGAATGGGTGTTGTAGTCACTAAGCAGCACCAAGGCTTTAGAAAASCTAAGTTCTGCCTGTGCTGTTAGCAAGGCGTAACACTCAGCACACTTTACAAGTTTGACAGCAAACACAAACTTCTTGTGGAGTGTCATTACTAAAACCTAAAACAGCTAAATAGCAGCAAAAAAGCTTTATGTGATGCTCATGAACGCTTCAAACCTATGGTCTTTTCTTTTTTTAGATACCTACTTGTCCAATGTTGCAGCTAGTATGTATTTGCCATTTGGGGAGAATTTCACAAAAGACACAGGCGGRTTATCATCATCTACGGCGAAAATAAAAGTGGTGTTAAAAAAATGCACAATTTTATCTTTTCACTGACAGAGAATTGCTTCTCACAATAATCCAATACGACTGCTTCACTTGAGCAAAGTTTAAGTTTTGTTGTCCCTTGGTACTTCCAAGAAAACTGTAAGAATACCACACAGCATTCCAAGAGAAAACAAGTTCCTAGGCATGCAAGAGAACAGTTCCTCCTTTTGCAATACATRGGAGGACAATATTCTAACAACAGAATGGCAGGAAGACAGGGCTTAAGGAAGCCACTGTTCACAGCAGAATATCTAAATTACAACTAAACACCACAGAACATAGCACAAACAAGGAATCTTCCTACTTACCAATCAGTGTTTTCAAGCACTGGCCTGATGCTGTATCCCAGATTCGACTATGAAAAACACACATAAGACTCATTACTATCAGTTTTAAAGCCTTTGTTTCGACTTTAATGTCACAAATCTGTATTTTTAAAGGAAAAAGTCTTTTCTGAAAATATATGCCTTACAGCAGAGAAGAAATAACCACTTACCAGAGTCCATCATAGCTACTTGACACTATCAGGGACCCATCACGATTAAAATGCACCTGTGATGTTATAGAAAAGGAAAGAGATAATGATATTTATAAAGACTAGACGTTTGAGCCCCACTGAAAGCATTTATGTCCCAATATTGACACTGAAATTCATATTTATGGAAGCATAAAGTCAACCTGACATGCAATGATAGTCACAAGTTTGGATGAGCAATATTATCRAAACAAGACTCTCTCCAGTTTCCCTGGCCTAATTATAAAAGAGAATGAAAACTAACTACAGATGATTATTCAAGCATCAGTAACTAGAATGCATGTATTTCCTCAGCRGTTACAAGAGTCTCTCAGCACTATCACATAAGGATGTTCTGTTCAAAGAATCACTTCCTTTCATAACAGCAAACCAAGGAAAACAATTTTAAGGGCAYGGAATTCAACCTTGTAGGTAGTCACACACATGCTTTGAGCTCCTCCTTTCAACTGCATGCCAAAATGCTGCTATTTTAAAGAGCAATTGCTCCTGATGCAAGTGCATTTGCAAGTGTGAAATATGTTCTAGACTAAGCAAAGCAATCTCACACATAACAGTACCTGTAGCTTAACATACCCAAGGCTTAATATTCTCTTAGCATTTCTCTCATTACAAAAATATAAAGAGGTGCACATTTTCTGATTTTCTTCATTTAAACAGATGTTGTTGTATTCCAAGTTACCTTTATCCACTAAAGGTATGAGATTTGAAATGGAGCATACTATGTAATTGCTACTATATTGTGTAAAACTAAGAATCAGAGCACAATCACACTGTTCTACAGAGGGGGAAGAGAAGCTCTCATCAAAACAAACAACCACCACCACCACACCAAGCATATTAGTGCGTTCATTTATCTGAAGGGACTTACAGCTGAAACGGGGTCAGAATGAGCAGGCAACGTCTTGAGGCACTTCCCTGTTTTCACATCCCATATCCTCACACTTTCGTCAAACTGAAGATTGAAGAAATGCACAAGGTGATTTAATGATGCACCTATTTGTGGCATTTTAGGTGCTACAGTCTGAAGCAAGACTAGATGCAGGGGCTACGTGGATTCCTCCATCCACATTGCAGCTGCATCAGAGACCTAGGACAGAAACAGTGTGCAGGGTAGCACGAACAGATGGAGAAGAGAGTTCCCTTAGCTCCTCCTCTCCATGCACAAAACCTGCACCTTCTGAGGATGAGGTAAGGGCTGGACTATGCCCACAAGCAGAGAAAGTGGTGACACCGCACAGTTCATTTGAGTGTGTGTTATGCATGTGGAAGGAGATAGAGAATTGAGATAAATTGTGCACAGCATTCACTTTGCAGAAAAAAAAAAAAAAAAAAAAAAAAAAAAAAAAAAAAAAAAAAAAAAAAAAAAAAAAAAAAACACTACTTACTGATCCAGAAACGATGAGATTTGACTGTGGGTTGAAGTTGCAGCAGAAAACATAGTTACTGTGCCCCTTCAGTGTCTTTAAGCACTTGCCCTGAAATAAGATTTATCAGTTAAATATACAGCATCCTTTTACAGATATACAATTAAGCTGCATTAAGGTTAATCGCCATGCAGGAAACAAAGAAGCCATCTCTAACTCCTGATTTAGAAAGGCATGAAGCAGTTACAGGAATATAACGAGTAAGTAAAAAAGAAAAAAAATAGGAAAAAAACCCCACATTATTTTAGCGATCAAAGCCTGGAGTTGTATCGCCACCATAAGGCTTAAGTGCYCTCAGAAGATAACCAGAATTCCCATGGTAGCAAAGCAACCCCTTCTCCAAAAAGCACACAGACTAACTCCCTCATCCTCACGGGCCCTTCAACCAGATACTCGTTATTACCAGGAAAGAGCATAGTTTTTAAACAAGAGCCAATGCTTAAAACTCTACCTTCTCTCACCATAGTACTTCAAACCTGTCTCTCAGAACAACTTGATTTTTAAGATGACAGCGCAGAGGAAAAGGAAGATAAACAGGCCCTGCACTCACCGAGCTTACATCCCATATTTTGAGAGTTTTATCATCGGAGGCAGAGACAAGAAGGTTGGAATCTGATGACCAGGCAACATCAGAGATACCCTAAAACAAAAGAAAACAAACTCTGTTCTCAGCAGTGTTTCCTCATCAACACAGGAAAATAGAAAACAGACTACATATTATATCCACCTCTGAAGCTAGCAAGAAAATTCAGCATTAGGAGTTGGGAGTTATTTGACTGGATTAGTGATCCTTTCACTCTTCAGCTTAATCACACTCATACGCTTCAAATACATCAATGACTTGTTCACATGGCCCCTCTTTTACTGTGGCCACCAACACCCTTTCCTGGAATTCATAAACACTATGCTATATAAACTAAACTGAGTAAGTATTTTCTCCTGATGACAAACGGCTTGCTTTTTATGGTCTGAGTTCCTAAGGGTTGGTGAAGAACCAGATTCTACTAGGGTGGGGTTTTTTTTGTGAGTCTTCATCTTTGCTTATATAACTTCAGCGTGTAAAAAAACTTGGTAAAATGAAGCCAAAGGGGTTTGTGTTATCTCTAGGACTTTGGAGAACAAGTGTTACGTTAATGCATGCAAAGACACACACACACACACAAAAGTCACCTTAAAAGGCAAATTGTTCTGCTCAAGATGCAAGGGAAAACAAATTAGGACTATTTACCAGGACTTTCATCCAAGAATATACATTGCTCAGTTTATAGTGGTGGTGGTCCTGAAATTCAATGTCTARAAAGAACAGCTATGCAGCACATGCAGGTACTTTCTTATCTGGCTTGCAATTACCTCTGTAATTTCTGTCTTGAACTATCACACAGGACTCTATAAACAAAGAGGCTCAAAACCAGACTAAGGAACAAACTTTCTGCACAAATAAATCCAACCATGAACAGAGATTACTGAATGAAAAAGTAAAATAAACTCACTACATGTAAACTGCATTCAAACACATAGCAATCTCTTCATACTTACCAGTTTATGACCAGATATTGTTTTCTCAAACTTGCCATCATATGCGCCCCAAATTTTAATGAGTTTGTCAGCAGCTGGAAAAGAAAGTGCCAGTTAACAGACCAGCAGCACTGACAGCTCCAGCTGTCTCCTCCAGGTAGGAAGAAGCATGTTAACAACTTCCCTGCAAATATTGTRAAGTTTTCCCTCCCCAGGCAGCACTCAGCGCATAAGGCAATATGTAAATGGTAAAGAACAGCTTCGTGCATGTCAAGCTGCAGCAGCTGACATGACACAAACTGCCTGGAATGTATAGAGTCTCCAGTCATTTTAGTTTCTCTGATGACAGCTTGGGCTGCTACTTTTACTTCAGACTGCCAGGAGTACAAGTAGTCCCGTTCCATGGGGAATGCTGAAGAACTTTTCCCCCCCCCCCATCCAAGAACAAAAATTGCACTTCAACCTGAGTTGAATTAATGCCTGCAAAAACCCAAGCACTCTATCTGTTACTGTGTAAACTTGCAAATGACATCAGAGAAAAGGGGTTGATATTTGCCAGATGTAGATGCTGGAAACTTTTTTGGGTGGAGGGCAAAAGGGAAGAGGAGGAGGAGGGAGAAAGGAGAACGAGTGTTTCGTGAGAGTACTTGAACAAAAGAATTATTTACGTATGGTGCACTGGCCTTAAGGCAATATGCAGTAAAGCCAAGGATCTAAGTCCCTACCATATTTGGGGGACGTTCTAGCGGCCCTCACAAAACTATATCAATACCTTTCTAAACATTTCAATATGGTTATCAAAAGCTCTGACTCGTAATACTACGGGTAGCAGCCATAAGCAAGCGTCAATCCTCCACCCCAGATTCCACAACCCACTCTAGCAGARCAAATCTCTCGTCAACAATACTGTAAGATAGTCTTCAACAATTCCATTTATCATGTTCTACCCTTTCTCAGAAACATGTTTGTGCCTGCAGGTCCTGCAAACAAATTTTACTGAAAAGCTTAAGCTAGATTTTTGGTGATGCAAAAAAAGAAAAGGAGTTTCCTTTGTCCTGGAACAGAATCTCATGAAGACAGAGGACTCAGGCTCAGACACAGAAGACTCGAGGTACAAAGCAAGAGAAATAAAAATGAATAAATAAAAGTAAATTGACAGCTTTAGCATTTGTCCTTTTAAGAAAAGCCCTTACACTACAGCTATCCTCCATCTTACCAAGGCAAGATTAGAGGCAAGGGGATCTTTAAGGCCCACATTTGCACACTTTGGACAAGATATTAAGAAAGTAATACTTACAGGAGCTGGCTAGCCATTCTCCGTTGGGACTAAATTTTACTGACGACACTGCCTTTGTATGTCCTGCTAGCGTGAACTTTAGAGCATAGTTTGGTTTTACTGGTGCGGGCTGTAAGAAAAAGAATAGGTGTGACTGAGTTTATAAACACCAAATTTAGTATCTCAGTGATAAGTTCTGTATCAGATCAGGTCACCGCACGGTACTGAACTGCAGGAATTATCGCTCTAATAGATTCTACTGCTTACATTTTTCCCTTTCTCCAAATTCAGAAAAAAAATGCCTGGAGTCAATAGTGCCTCACTGTATATGTACAACTGAAAACTCATCTTTGGTTTGAATCCAATCTCAAGGGATGTTAATAAACAGCTGAGAATGATCSCACAGTCCAACCACAGACTCCGTGATAGATTAAAATAAAACACTTCATACTCATCTGCATAGCAATAGTAAATGTTTGCACATTTTAAACTCATATTCAATCAAGTCAGAGACCAATTCTTCTATACCTCCCAAATCCCAAACTTTCTCTTTCCACTATTTGCAAAGTTCTCATGGTTGAATGGTGACAACTGCTTTAAACATTCACAAGCTTCAAAGAAGCTGAACAATAACCGCTCCTCCACCCTGAAACTAATATTATAAATAAACCAAACTTCCAGTCACCTCTAGATCTTCCAAGGATACAAACACCAGAGATTTCTAATGTTGGAAGTAGCARAAGACTATTTCCTTTGCATGAACTTCAAAAAACAAAATCCAAAAATACCCCAGCACAAGAGAGATTGTACTTCATCTGCTTTTCCTGGAAGCCTTTAGCGCATTTTCAGCTCTACACAACAGCAGATCCAGAAAACCTGAGAAGTTCTTAATTCATATCAGGATTCGATTTCTTTAAAACCCCTAATTCCACTTTGCCTTTTGAATATGTAGATAGTTTCCATGCGTATTTACAAAGATCCTGTTCAGAGGCCCCCACACACCTTGCTCTGATTGGTTGAGGAGGAAGGAGTAGATTGTGTTTTGGTGGATTCTGCATCTGGCTTCTTTTCTTCTGTTGCCATGGTTTTGAAGCTGGCAAATGAGACTTATGGTGCTTCAAGGGGAGAATGAATGTGCTGCTTCAAAAGAGCCCTTGCCACGGAGAGGAGAAACCGCACTGGAAACGAAAACCTGGAAGAAAAACAAAATATTGTTAGCTGTCAAAGGAAGCTGTCAGTCACTAGGAGAACTAGACCAGCATAATTGCAAGTCCACAGAAACGAGTGTCGAAAATTTAAAAAAAAAAAAAAAAAAAACCTACATCTTTTATGTACAGCGCAGAATCCCACAAACAGTCTTAACAAAACACTACCTTTCATTTATTTCATGCCACCAGACCTATCAATGCACAAGATCAAGAACCCAACCTACGGCCTTTTAATATTTCTTCGTAAGCCTTTTTTTTTAGAAAAAAAAATCCATTAAAACTAGAAATCATTCAAAATAAAAAAAAAGAGCTTTTAGGCRTGGCAGGCTTTTTGATACAATACTCCCCAACATGCCCACAAGAAGTTCTTTAATCGCATAGTCAAAACAACAGTTTGCACAGAAGGCGGAAGGACAAGTCCTGGGCCTTTTCCTTCAGATGCACCAAGACGCTGAATACAAAATGGATTATAATAACGAAATAAGGAGGAGGAAGTTACAGGCATATCCAAAGCTTGAAATCCTACTGGGCTACTCTCCCCCTGCAATTCAAGCATTCCAGTCTCACATTCCTCCCCTAAACGATGCTCAAGAGCATCAAACCACGTTGCTTTTCCCCCCTCGACTARAAGCCAGGCTTCCACTGGTCTCAGCACTTGGTTTTAGCACCAAAACCCAGCCAAGCGCTGGGCCAGGCTGCTGCACCCCGGGCCGACACCACGAAGGGCACAAGCTCATGCAGCCCAGCCAGGTCCCGGGGCAGAACCACCTCCACACCCGCCACGAGGATCCGTCTCCCATGCAGGTTTTGCCACACCTCRTTACCGCTGCTGCTTTTTTTAAATATTTTCCGCTGTGAGCAGCAGATTTGGGAGCAGGAGCGTTTGCACCTTYCCCTCCTCACACACCCCTGGGAGGAGGACGGGGAAAGGGAGCCCCCAGMCGCTCCCCCAGCGCCCTCCGCAGCGAAAAGCAGAAATTAAAACTTTTCCGCGCCCAAAACTGCCCCTTTTGGGGTCGGGGCTCCCCTGCCCAGCGTTGCCAMTGGGAAGGAGAAGGGACGGGGGGTCCCAGGACATCTCCCTGGGGAACGGGGGTTCTCCGCCCGCAGCCCAAACTTCACCCGGGATGAACGTTGGGGGGGAGGGGGGAGCGCTCACCGCGAGGGGCGGGAAACGGGGGGTGGGGGGAGGGGGCGGTGGCGCTGCCTGAGGGGAGGCGGCGACGCGCGGGAGGGTGCGCGGAGGGGGAGGGGAAAGGCCGCCCTGGGGCCCCGCCGCCTCTCGGTGACTTACCGGGGGAAGGGGCGGGGGGCGGCGGCGGCGCCGCCTCCTTCCCCTCCTCAGCGGCGGCGGAGGGGGGGGCAGCGCGGGAGGGGAGGGGGGGGACGCGGCGGCGGCGGCTCCGGAGCCGCCAGGCGGGGGAATGCGGGAGGGCGCATGCGCGCTGCGCGCCGCGGGCTGCACAATGCCGCTCTCTCCCGGGAGCGCTACGGCGCGGCCCGAGAGTCAAAAAGCAGCGGTGGCGGGAGGCGGGCGCGGTAGCGCCTTAAAGGGCCAGGCGTCGCTTTTACCTCGTTTGTGTCCTCGTTTCTGGTTGCCTTTTCCTCCTCCGGGGCTGAAGGGCTGAGGTGACGGAGAACGAAGGATGCAGCTTGTGCCAGGGAAGAGGCCTGAAAGAGGCAGCTGCAGCCCAGGGGCAGCCCTGAGGAGAGGCAGCTTTGGGGGTGCCAATGGCCAAGGCCTGCAAGGTGGCAGCCAGAAACGGGGGGCTGCCGGGCACTGTGGAGAAGGCAGGGATGGTGCGTGAGGCACCACTAGCCCACCCTCCACTTGCCCAGGCCAAGGGGACGAGACCCKCTGCGTTACAAGGCGCTTGACCCGCCACGAGATGAGGGCCCCCTCTGGCCGGGCGCCATTTTCCCTCACAAAATGGATGGCKCTGGGAGCTGGTGCGGGGGGACGCTGCCCTCTCCCTCAGCCTGCGCCTTGCAGTGACACCCMAAAACCCGTTTGGCCCGGCCACAACGGGGTTGGGTGTTTGGGGGTCACACCACGCAATCCTGCGGCACTGAACACGTGCGTGTAAAGGTGGCGAGGAATGGCACAGGGACCCTGACTTGTCAAAGTCTGATTCATTAAGGCTGAAAACCTACTTCAACTTGAGCATCTGTTTAAGCACTTTTCTAGAGAGCACTGTTTTCATTCCTTTTTTTTCTTTTTTTTTTTTTTTTCTTTCTCAGATCCAGAGTTCCTGGCTGTGCAGGACGCCTGCTTTCAGTTAAGAGGGAAGAAAGGCAAGAGACACGTGTCACTTCTGGGCCCTTTAACACAGGAAGATCTTTGGGCTCCAAAAATTCTAGTGGCAGTTGAGAAAGAGAAAATAAAAAAAAAAA